AATCGTCAAAATTATTGTCGAAACAAAACTATTTCGCCATCATGTATGAGTTTGACCGAGTCGTGCGTTATTGTTGATCATTATTAGCTCGGCATGAGCGGTGTAAACTTTGGAATTTCTATTTCTATTTTTTAGTATAAATTGATCAACCAGAAAAATTTGAAATAACCTCAGACTTGGTTTACATCTGTAATCTTATATATTAATATATATATTAGCAGTTAATATGTTTACAGAATTACGATGACCGAAATTATTTACTATTACTATTACTATTACCATTATTATTATTATTATTATTACTACGACTGAAATTATATACGGAATTCAATTAATGGAAACTTTTATTTACTATTACTACTATTACAGTTTTCCAATTTGTATTTTCAGAACCAACTATAGACACATCTAAAACAATTTTTTCATTTCCAGTTGTCTGAACCTCCGCAGTTTTTACATCACGTTTTATCAATAGTTAGATTTCCAACCATATCAGGAGTTTTGTACATATTTCCAATTTCTGAAAGTTCATATTCAAATTGTTGAAATTTGATAAGCTGACATCAAGATGAACAGGAAGCTTTTGACCAATCTTCGTTTTACATTGCGTGGCAAGATATAATAATAAGTTTTAATGGACGATCCGTTTATGAGTTGTACATAGTGATCAACGGGGAAATTAACAATTTGTATTATGTTTTTGTTCCACTAAAAAAGTTTATATAAATTACCGTGTAACATTCGTATTTTAACAATAATAATAATAATATTATTATTGGACTTGGAAGACAAGGTAAACAGAACAACAACAACGATATTATTATTATTACCGAGTAAAAAAATGTTTGCATATACAATCAATTTAAATAAATTTTATGTTACATTTATTATGAATAGTGAAGGTAGTTTTTTGGTCAACCTCAGTTATTTTACGTTTATGGCCAAGTTTCAAGATTCAATTAAAAATCGTCACGATACAATTAATTTTACACGGAATAAGGTTGCAGATTTTTTTTTTGTTGATCTTTTAATTAATATTATAAAATTTCAAAGATAAGATAAGAGAAAAACTGCGTGTTAGAGTCTGTGCATTTAATAAATTGATCGACACACTCTCATTCATAGACGGGATCGTCCATTAATGAATGATCTTAAGAGTTACAGTTGACTCCATCCTGCTGAAATTCAAAAAATCCATGCATGCTTTTAAGTCAGTTTCATATGCCAACACCTTCCATTTTAGGCAATTCTTGCCCATATGATTTTTACTAAATTTAAAAATCGAATGTCAGCGCTTGGCAAATTGTTTAAATACTAACACATGGCTTTAAGAGAATCCCAAGTTATTAATAAGAAATTTTTACTTTTATTCATTGTTGTTGACTATTTTGAAATGTCCCTTTTCTTGGTTTACTTGGCAAATATAAGAAATAATCATTCAAATCTATACAAGATTTCGCGATCAATATTTTGAAAAAAATCTCCTATCACTTTGCTGTTTTTTTTTTGGGGCCTGGCCTCGATTCTTTCAAAAAACACATGTAAAAATTGGTGGTTTAAGAAATTCCATTCGTAACATTCAAATAAGACTATTTTTATAGCCTAATACCAAAACTCTGTTACTATACTATTGTTATTATTGTAACAGCAGTTTAAATTTTTACATCCTAAAAAATGTCAACCATTGAAGAAATTAGATGAAGAGTATGAATAGGCAATGAGAAAGTTGGAGAAATTCGATGAGGGAAAAAAAATCAGGAGAGGTTATATGAGTCTGAAGTTTTTTGTTTTTATTATGTGTCAAATCCGATTATTTATACTGTTATCATATCTATCATTTAATAACAAATTTAACAGAGAGAACGTGAACATAGTATGACTTAATAAACAAATATCAAGTAAAGAAATATTTAATATTATTATAAATCAATTTTTTTTATTACACCAAAGTCATGTGAAGTCTATTTTGGAAATACCTTTAAAAATTCACAAAAATTCTATTTTTGAAATTTGGGCCACGTGGAATTGTAAAATAATTCGTGCAACTTTAGATTTATATACAGACAGATCTGTTTATCACCTAGGTGACCCGCTAAGGCTCTTTTAGGCAGGTCCAACCTAGATAGTTTAGGTCTACCAGAGGATGTTGAAAGGAAATCACTTAATGTTCCAGCTCAAAGGTGACTAGTATTAGATGCTAACTATCCAGTAGCTATATGAGCTAGTATTAAAGAGTTATGCATTAGTGAATGAGGATTAGTGAATTAGACTTAAGTGATTTTGTATAAATTGAATTTTGGCAATTAAAAAAATTGCAACCAACTTAAGAATTCAACTGCTGTAACATTAAAATTTGATGCTTAAATGTTGAAAATTGCAAAGTCCTTTTTGTAGTCAAAATGAAATTGTTGAGTTGCATGTTATTTTTTTAGATTGCTCTCAGAATGAATTAGAAAATTAAACTTAACTGAACTGATTGCTCAGATTTGCAATATCTCAATGTTATACAATAACTAGAAGTAAATCATCTAAATAAATTGGCATTTTTCTATTGTTTAAAATGATTGTATTTAACAGGTTGCAAATCTTTAAGAGAATTATATGCAGCAGAAAATGCTATTAGAGATTAGATATTAGTAGTCTTGAAAGTTTAACTTTTGTCTCCCCAAAGGTAATGTTTCAATAATTTATTTGTGCACTAATAATTGTCCCCTTTTTTTGATCTGTTTGTTGCATTAAGCTTACTAATCTGAATTTTGATGGTTGTGGTGATAGTATCAAAAAACTTTATTTCTCAGAAGCATTAGCAAATCCAGGCTGAAAAATTATGCCCAAGTTAATAACAGTGAGGATTTTTAAAATTAGAGATATTGGTGAAAAAGTAATTAGTTTCACAAAAGAAATAAATGCCTTTGAAACACTGAGAGAGTTCAAAAATCTTAACCAATCCTAATGATTATTCTCTTGGTGATTCACTAAATTTAGATTAGAAGGAACATCAAATGAACTAAGGCAACAATTGGTTAAATTGTGCAAAAAGAAATTTAAGAAAATGCCATTCAAGAAGAAACTGCCAAAGCTCAAGATTTGTTAGCTAATAAAGAAAATCTTTTTGATTTAAGTTAACCTGAGCTTGCTTGATCAAAACCAAATGAGGAGGATGATTCATCAACTGAGTATGATAAGGAAGGTGATGAGAACCAGAAGAAGAAAAGGAGGATTTTATGAGTTCAATGAAGAATAACAATTAACCATCATCAAAAAGTATTGATGATTAAATCCAAAATAATAATAATGGTGAAAATAATAAATAATAAAATTTTGACTTCCCAAGAAATAAGTAATGATGAGAATTTAAAAGCAGTGATAAAATGAAAGGTAAAAGCTCCCTACATAGACATGAATAACTATTGATAATCAAGATTATCATATTAAACAGTCAGTTAATTATTTTTTTGAGGGATAAATTGTGGTGGTGGCAATAAGAGTTTTGACTATCTGTTGGGAAGTAAGAAAAAAAGAAAAAAAATCATGGCAACTGTTCTTTCTGTTGTAATGTAATATACACATGCTCACCTATACTGATAATTGATCTAAGCAAATTAGTAAATTATTTTTCTTCTGATTTTCTTTTTTTTTTAAGTTTTTCATGACTTTGTGTCTTTTTATTAGTTATGATTTTTCTTTCTTCTTGGTAAATTTCATAGATGATTTTCTATATGCTCATTGTTCATATTTTCCTATATTTGATAAAATGACTACTTGGATTGCATTATCATATAAATCAAATTTAGAAGCAAAGACAAAACAGTTGTAGTGATATTATTATGGTTGTAAACTTTGTTATCACTTCATTTCTTAATCTGTCAGCTCAAAGTTATCCATTAATAGAGTCTTAACAATTCAAAGAAATGTACCAATAATGAAGTAGCAATGGTAAGGTTGAAATCCTTCTAATCATTTTCTTTGTTCTTTCTGTTACTAGAAATGATAATTCCACTGAGAATTATTGTTGAGAGTGTTACTAAAAACAGAATTAGCCAAATGTGAAGATTGGGATGTAAAGCTCTTCAGAAGGCTCTGGTGAAGGAAAAATTCTCTGAACCATGAAGAGTGATCTTACTCATAATATTCATGTACCTTATAATTGACTGACTGTTTGATGTCCCAAGTATGCAGATGATATTAATGATGCTACTGATGTAGTGAAATATTTAGTTATAGGAATGGGCTGAGCTGATAATCACAGATGTGATAAATTTGTACAAGTCACTAGTACTAGTGTTAGTCAGCCAAAGCAAAAATGAGAAGCCTTATTCTCATCCCAAGTTAGGACTAGCAGGCACATGAATCACTACAAGTTTAATGATTTGTCTTTTTGTTAGGAAGAAGAATATTGATTTCTCTGCTGTGAAATCATATCAGTAGCACAATTGTGACGCTAAATCTTTAACAACTAATCAACATTAACCCCTGAAATTTCTTTGTGACATAATGTTCACTGCACTTTGTATTTTAAAAAATTTTTTTTTGAAAAAATATAAAATTTTAAATTCATTTATTTATAAATTTTTTTTTGAATTTATTGTACAACAAACAATAAATCAAAATGTTTTAATTATAGATTTTTAAATTTCTATTAATAAAATCAATTGGTTATTCTTTAATAATTAAATTGGAGAAATATTTTTAAGGACCAATCATTGATATTAATATTAAAACTAAATAATTATAACAAACTTTCCTTTTACAATATAAAACCATTAATCAATCACAATCACACATACATACTCTAAATCTTTTCTTTCAAGACTTTTTTTGGCCCTTATATATATATATATAATTTATATATATATATATACATAAATAAAATATTAATATAAATTAATAAATTATTTTATTAAATTAGTTTTTATAAAATTTCCTTCATTCTAAAAAACATTATTCTTATATATTCTAAATTTAAAATTTTTTTATCAAATTTCCATTAAAATTTAAAGATGCGTCTTTGGCAAAATTCACAGAGGCCTTCACAATTACAACAAAGCAATAGCAGTAGCAACAGTGGAAGTAATACCAACAGTAACAATAACAATAATAGTAGTAATAACAATCATAATCGTTCAGATGCCTCTAATGCTTCTAATTCCACCAATGGTAATTATACTCCCTCTACACCAACTAGCCCAACTCCTATTCCTGCATCTGGTCTACTTATCATCCGTGTTATTGAGGCACGTGGGATCATTTTACCACCTGGTATATCGACCCCTCAAAATCCTCAACAATTTGTTTCTGCCACTCCAACTTCTTCGTCAGCTTCTGGTAACACGCATACTACACGAAGCAGTAATAGAGATAGCATGCAAAGAAGACAATGCTGGTGGTTACCTTATGTTGTATTAGAATTTGATAAGAATGAAATATTGATTGATGCTTTGGGTGGTGAAGTACAAAATCCTACTTGGCAATATAAAGCAAATTTGTAATTGACAATTATTATTATTTTGAGGATATTTTTTAATTATTTTTAACTAATTAAAAAAATTACAATTTTTTTTAGTGATGTTTCACGTGAATCAGAGGTATCTCTACAAGTTTATTTAAGAAAAGCAACTCAAACAGGACATCACACAAATGACATGGGAAATGATGTATTTTTAGGCGGTGTAAAATTTTCACCTAATTTCAATGAACCAAACGTAAGATTTATATCACATATAAATTATTGCATATTATTTATCAATTATGTATATTAATTTGATATTTATATATTTAATCAGAGATTACATGAAGAATGGTATCCTGTTCAAGGAGGTTCGGGTAGTGTCCACGTAAACTTTACTTATAAAAAAGATAGTGTAAGTGTTACTTCTAATATTAAATATCATTTATTATAGTAATCATATTCGTTAAATTAATATTCCTTGCTTAAATTACTATCTCTTATATATAGGCAAATACACCTTTAAAAATCGATGCTTTCGAATTGTTAAAAGTTATTGGTAAAGGTAGTTTTGGAAAGGTACGAAAATTAATTAATTAAAAATCGATTAAAATTTAAAAATTTTTCGCACTTTCTTAAAAACAAAATTTTTTTTTCATCCTCTCCTTTCCAAAAATTTTAAATTATTAAAGGTCATGCAAGTACGAAAAAATGATACTTCTCGTATTTATGCTTTAAAAACTATTAGAAAAGCTCACATTGTATCTAGATCCGAGGTTAATCATACTCTTGCTGAACGAACTGTTCTAGCTCAAATTAATAATCCATTCATTGTACCATTAAAATTTTCTTTTCAAAGCCCAGAAAAATTATATTTGGTATTGGCTTTTGTTAATGGCGGTGAATTATTTCATCATTTACAACGTGAAGGTAGATTCGACGAAGAAAGATCAAGATTTTATGCCGCTGAACTATTATGTGCTCTAGAATGTTTACACGATTTTAACGTTGTCTATAGGTAATGATTTGAACATTTATGGAAATAAAGAATTTAATTTAATTTAATTATTAATCCTCTTCCCACCAAAAATTTAGAGACTTAAAACCTGAAAATATTCTATTAGATTATTCAGGTCATATTGCATTATGTGATTTCGGTTTATGTAAATTGAATATGACCGAATCAGAAACAACAAACACTTTTTGTGGGACACCAGAATATTTGGCCCCTGAACTTTTGGTCGGTCAAGGATACACCAAGACTGTTGATTGGTGGACTTTAGGGGTTCTATTATACGAGATGTTAACAGGTCTGCCACCATTCTACGATGATAATGTAAATGAAATGTATCGTAAAATTTTACAGGATGAACTTAGATTCCCGGAGGAAGTAGGCACCCAGGCTAAAAGTTTATTAATTGGGGTTAATATTTTGACATATTATTTATGATATATTTTTATCAGAAATAAGAGTTCATATATTAATAATTATGTTTGTGTATTATTTTTTTTAGTTATTGACAAGAGATCCAAATAATCGTCTTGGTAATAACGGAGCTCAAGAAATTAAAGATCATACATTTTTTGCTTCAATTGATTGGAGAAAACTCATGCAAAAGAAAGTTCAACCTCCATTCAAACCAAGTGTTGTACGTATATCTCAAATATATGATTTTTTTCCTTTAAAAAGAAAACAAATAATGTTAATACAATAATTTTTATCAATCACAGGAATCAGCAATAGATACTTCAAATTTTGATGAAGAATTTACTTCAGAAACACCTCAAGATTCTTTAGTTAATGACTCACATCTATCAGAAACTGTACAACAACAATTTGCTGGATTCACGTACAATCCTGCACATGAAGGTGTTATGAGTAGTAGTATGGCTAATTCAGATTGATTTGTTCAATATTTAAACTATATATATACATATACACGTATAAAATATATATATCTTTATTATGTATGTATATATATATAAATTTACACATACATTACTACTGTGATATATATATTAAAAAAACCTCACACATATATATATTATATTGTAAACAAAAAAAAAATTTAAAAATATATATATTTATTTTTTCTTTCTTTTAAATTATATTTTTTTTAAAAAAAAAAATACATGTAACAAATTACCAATTTTGTTTTTTCAAATTTTTATCATACTATTAAGATTTTTATCATTTCTGTATAAATATTTTTTACTATAAAAGAAGAAAAAATTAAAAAAAAATGAACATGACGCAAGCATTCAAACGATAAAATTCGTCGTGTAACTTGTACAAATTTAGAAACTATCTGCAAACGTGTAACGTTAATTAATGTATTTTCCATTAATGGGTATTAATATGGGTGTAATATAGTAATAGTGCAAAGATACTTAGTTCCTACAACCTTCTGTGCCACGCAATAAAAATTTTATTCACATGTTTTGCAAAGATTGTCAAGTATCTTATCAAGATAATATGGGGCATGCTGCAACAAAACCAGACAAAGTGAACATTGGTATTACCAAGGATTTCAGGGATCAAAATTTAGTAATGTGATTATTATTATCAGTGTAGGAAATTGAGTGAGTGTGATTGTGCTACATTAAAAATGCGCACATTTTGTTGATCACAACCAAAAAAAATTTTTATTGATATCAATCTTTTTTATTTGTCCAATGTTCAAAATTAAAATCTTGAATATCTGGACCATTTAATAAAATCATTAAATGATTATTCGATGTATCTACATGCATTTGTTTCTCAACTTGTTTTTTATCAGATTTGCCTGTGAAAATATTCTTATTGGAAAAGGGTATAAGGAGTGCTATTTTAACAATAACTGTTAAATTTGGATAATTGAAATAAAAATTTTTATCTGTATCCAAAATGTGTTTCCACAATTGAATAAAATACATTTCTGTACTTTTATGTGATATAGATAGGATTTTAAAGAGTTCCACTCTTCTGTGAGTTTTCCTTTTTCAACAATTTCACAAAATTCATCATTTACCAATTTAGTATCTCCATAAAATTTACCTAAAAATTCTATCCCACTCTGACCATATAGATTTAAATCATTTTCATTATCAGGAAGTTCATTTGGATCAAAAATTCTAAACAAAGAAAATAGTTCAGAATCAGAGAATCTATTATTGATGGCTTTTATCATTGCTAATGAGTAATATTTAACAAATGAAGGTGCTGAAAGATAATTTTTTTCTAAATAATTTTATAAATTTACTTGTCTTTTTTTAAATGATTTTTTTATTTTGTGTTGTTAAAAAACAAAAAAAAACCCATTACCTTGTTAGAAATGCAAATAAAAAAATTCACCTTGTTAAAAAGATTAATTAAAGAAACCACTTTGTTAACATGAACAATTAAAAATTATTATATAAAATTAACCAATAAAAATTAATTTTATTGAAGGGTGATTGTCAAAAATATCACAAAATTTAGCCAATAAAATTGTCACACACTGTTAAAGTTGCTTGCCAGAAATCAATCAGCAGGTTACACATTAATTGTTTATTAGAGTTTTGGCAGAGATTTGCATTTTGAGGTTTTGTCATTTGATAAGATTTAATATAGTTTTGCCATGGTTTCAGCAATTACTAAAGAGGTTTCACCCACAACCTTACATGCTGTATATGTTTGTTACCATTAATGGCTTTTTTGGAAGAATCTTGCATGGTTATTCTTGCCTTTTCTAGATGCAAAGCATCTGTTGGTTTGAAAGTGAATAAGTTGCTAGAGCAGTAGATTTTGAAACATTCTTTGATCCTAAATAATAAATAACATTATAATATTAGTAAATTATTGTGGCAAAATTAATTATATTTATTTGTCACCTTTTCCTGCAAATTGATCTCCCCCCATGTACTTTACAAATTGTGCAAAACATTCTCTTCATTGTGTTTCATATTTTAACCATTTATATATGTTAGCCATTCATGTTAAAAACTTCTTCCTGATTTTTAAAATGCACTTTTTTATTTGACATTTAATATGGTTTACACTTAATTCACTATTTTTTCTTTTTTTTATTTTGATTTTTTTGAAGTATTATCATCATCTGAACCTTGAATTGTCAAATCACCTGAACCTTCTATATCTGATTCATCAATATTTGTTTCATTTATAAATGCTTCATCCCAAGTTTCAGTAGCCAAATTATCCAATTCTTCTTGTTCTATACTATTTATAAGGGAAACCAAATTTACATAATTCATATTTAAAGTGTATATATTTTTAAATTTAATAATTGAATAGCAGTAAAATAAAATTTAAATTGAGTCAATGCTTTTCTTCTGAAAATTCAAAAGGTACAATTATAGTTCTTTTCTAAAATATTGAAGTAATGACACACATATAATGTATGTATATATATTTAGTATAAAATTTTTTTTATGCAGATGGAAAAATATGTACAAAAAAAAAATAAAAATAAAAAGGAAAAATATCCAGCAACTATTTTTTCCGGAAATTAAAAATTTTTAAAGGAAAATCCGGATTTTTAAAGTACTATTTTCAGCTCTTGTCAGAGCTATACATGCTGTCCAAATCCCAAATGTACAAAGTGAATTTGGGCCAGCCTGTCAAAGAATTCCCAAATCCCAAACTATTCTGTCTTAATAGATTTTACTTACCTGTTGATCTGAATGTGGTACATGAGCATTTTGGGCTCAATTGTAACTATAATGTGCAATAAGTAACATCAACACTGCAATATTTCATTTTACCTTGGGAATAAGGTTGATCAACTAGTTTCTTTGTTCTTCTGCCAATTTAGTGTTTTTATTATAATAATTTCTTTCTAATCTTGCCTTGGACAGATGTTCTTTAAATCTTTTAAGCAAATCTTTAGCTTTTTCCCCTTGGCAAGCATTGTAATTAATGTAAACCATTTCTAAAATGTTGACAAGTATCACACAAGTCAGTTCTTGAACTCCTAATATGAATTTCTGGTGTCATAATTTTCTAAATGCATCACATTTTAAGGATTTCAATTTGCTATTTTCTTCTAGACCAGTTAGAAAATCTCAGTGGACTGATTTATAACCCATTTCAGCTGGTAAGAATGTAATTGATTAGGTTATTCTATTGTTAGTTTTTCCTGGGGTTGGTGATCTATGGACTTCTGCATGATTCTCCAGAAAATTCTTTACCACTTCAGCTCAGCAACATTTTTATCAATCACAATTTTAGTTTCCATTGAGGCATCCTTTTAATATTACCATGAACTCTTGATAAAAGACCATTGTTTATCAGATGATTTCTGATATTTTCAAAGTAAGTCTTACCAATTCCTAGAATATTAAGATAAGTTTCTTGACAAAGAGGTGTATTGTGATCCCAATGGTAGAAAGTTCTTTTTAAGGTGTTTACTAGTGCTAATTGACCCACCATTCATTGCCTTAAGTTGGGCCATTAAAAATATAACTTGTTCAGAGCCTGAAAGGATTCCCTTAATTCTGCAAATTGTTCCTTGGGGATTCTTGAAGAGCAACCACAATCATAACCTTTTTCTAAAAAACCAATTGCCTTATATTCATTATATTTATTATTACTTTTTATATACTTTACATTTATCCCTATATATATAATTTTATGTTCAACAGTAAGTACGATTTATAGATCCACAAACCCAGCCAAAAAAGGCATAAGTACAATTATTACCAAAAATGGTTAAAAATGGTTGTACTATACTCACTGCATGAAGTGTACTATACTCAAACCAGTAATTGATTGCTTTTTTAACTAAATGATTGTAATACTTAAGGTTTCTGGTCAAAACTGCTTCTATTAGTAGCCGAAATTGCCCAAATACTTTGGGCAAAAATTTTTTTTTTATAAGCCCAAACTACTTTTTGTTAATAGCCGAAATTGGGTGAAATTATTTTAAAGTTGTTTAAGTTAAAACAAGTTGATTCATATAGTTTTTTAATGTTCATGCTTATAGAAAATGTTGAGAAGCCCAAATTGCCCAAACTAGTTTGGGCTTTGAGAAAACAGTTTGGACCAGAAACCTTAGTAATACTATTATTATATTAGACCAATTACATGATAATATTTATCTCAAACACTCAGGTCCAAAGCTATTGTGAGCATTACCTATTCTTTGGGCACTCTAACTTTCACTATTACTATTGCCCATTATTATATGATTTGCCATCTTCGTCAACTTCCCTTTCTTCTTTTCTTTGTTGACCCATTCCTGAATTGCTTTTATCAGTCTTCTCTAGGATTTGATTGAAGGATTGTTATTTGATTTTTTACCTGAAAGTAGTGAATTGATGACGTTTTTATATTGTCCCAATGTAAGGCGGGATTGTTTCAGAGAAAAACAAAGGCTTATAAAACATATCCTTAAATGCAGAGCTTGTTCAAACAATTCAAACAATGTTCTTTTTATTGATAAGCAATGCAATGATCATTAATCAAATTTGCATAATAATAAAGGAGTAATTTCTTTAGTCAGTAAAAAAACAATAGGAAATTATGAAATAATCCTTTTTACCAACTACATCAAATTTTGAACCTTGTAATCCATGTGACACAATGTCCACTTTGGTTTTGTTGAGGAATTTTTCTTTGTCATGTTTATCACATAAAGTCTCACTTGCATGGTGGCCACACAAGGATGGGCTTTGTTTATATTTTGACAGCATGAGTGTTTTTTTTTCTTGGAGTGTATTTTTATATCAATAGAAAACAATTAATTGTATGTATGTTCAATGCATGTTTCCCAATTCACTGGAATTCATCAATTGGTCCAGACGCAATAATAATTTGATAAATATTAAGAGCATATGAAATTGTGATGAATTGAATAAACAAAATAGTAACAATAGCAATACTTAAAAGACAGGTTTAACAACCATTCTCTTTCCTATCTGTAATCTTCACATTTAATGACATCATAATAATAGGGTGGTGGAGATTCACTGTACTCTGTTAACTTATTGGCTGTGCCAGCTTCACTGATAATATCTACTTCTTTTTATTTCTAGCTACCTTGATATCAATGTTTTCCTTTTTTTATATATATGATTTGATCTATTATTGTTTCTAGATTCAAGCTTTGACTTATGATTTATTAGATTTATTTGAAATATTCAAATTTATTTGACCAATAAAAATGGGGTTGTCATACACATTTAATAAATAGCAGTTAATATTGATACGGTTTAACCAAATTTAGAATTGTCAAAAAAATAAATTTTTCACAATTCCACTCGGCGGGTGATGAAAAAAGTTTTATTTATGCGGCCTAAAATTGTTAAAGAACATTTTATCCAAATTGAATACGAGCAATGATAAAATTTTTTAATTAAAATAAAAAAATAATACGAACAATAATATTAAATAAAGATAAAATTTTCTTTTATCAAATTCTTACAATCCTACACAATTAAAAATTATTCACGATTAAAAATCTTTGAAACAACAATCAACACCACCGTCACCCATTAAAAAACGTGTATATATCTGATTTTTGAAAATGTTTTTTTAATAAAGATTGCATAATTTACCAAGTGTTGCATGCATAATTTAATGTTTGTTGCCGCACAAAATATTAATCGTGCTTAAATTTATAAAAGTTTGTTATAACGCAAATTTAATTATAATTCGTTGAAACGAATTTGATTGTATCAAAAAATTTCAATGACTACCAACAAAATTAACGATAATCAAGCAAGAGTGACTGTGTATTATCAACTATCAATGTTAATAATAATTAAGAAATTATTATTCATGAAAAGGACGATATACTTTTTTTTTGGTTTTTTCTTATCCTAAATCCCTAAATCTTTTACATTTGTAATTTTCCTTACATTCGTTTCATTTTTTTTAATACTAATAATAGGAAATTTTCTTGTTGACAATCAGGTTTATTTTTAATAATAAAACGGCAAACTACACGATTATCGAATTATTATTATGTGATCGAAGGATCTGCAATAAAAAATGTCGCGATATTCATAGTTTTAATAATTAATATGGTAATAAAAAGGGGATTTATTTTATTTTTATTTAAATATTTTACTTTTCAAAAAAAATTTTTTGTAAAAATGTATAATAATAATATTGGAGAAATAGTTTCAAATGTAATAGGTTGGGTAAGTTTATGATAAAAACGATAAAATAAATTTTTAAAACAAAATCTTTAATCTAACCACGTGATCATATATTACTAGACTTATTTTTTAGCTTGGTCAATAAGTTTTTATCCACAAGCAATATTAAATTGGAAACGTCAAAGGTAAATATTATGAGATATGTTTTTTCATAATAATTAATATTAAACACATTTCTAATTTTAAGTGTGCAAGGATTATCCATAGACTTTTTATGGTATAATGTTTATGGATTTATGTGTTATTCAGCAAGTATTTTATAAATAATGTTATTATTGATCTTTACATGATAATAATATTTAATATTTTTCTTGTAAAATTACTAGGTGTTCAATTTGACATTCTTCTTTTCTGAAGAAATTCAAAAAGAATATCAAGATAAAAATGGCAATAAAGACAACCTTGTCAGAGCAAATGATGTGTTTTTTGCTTTACATGCTTTACTCCTGAGCACAATTACTTTAGTTCAATCTTTTATATATAAAGTGAGTATTTTAACAATAATCTATCAAAATAATATATTAATAATAATCTATCAACAGTAATAATTCTAATAAATAATAAATGTGAACAAAAGAGAGATGCAGATCAAAAAATATCATTTATAGCATCAACGTTCATAAAAATTTCTTTAGTGATGATGATATTGATTTCAATTGGAATATACTTTTCTAAATTCCAATGGATTGATTTGATATATTTTTTGAGTTATATTAAATTATTGATTAGTTTAATTAAATACGTTCCTCAGGTATTTTTTTTGATTGAGAAATAGAATTTTTTTTAAGTAATAAAAAACTTATTAATATTTTTTTTTATTTTTAAAAAAAGGCATTTTTAAACTTCAAAAGAAAATCAACTATTGGATGGAGTATTCATAATATATTATTGGTAAATTTAATGATTAAAAATTATTATTATTATTATTATTATTATTATTATTATTCATTTAATTAATTAATTAATAATTCTGATTCCTCAAAAATCAAGGATTTTACTGGTGGTGTTTTATCAAATTTTCAATTAATATTCGATGCCTATTTAACTAATAATTGGTCTGGTATAAAGGGAGTAAGTAATTATATATTTAAAATTTTTGTAAAAATTAGAAAATTATTTATTGAAATCTTTAAAAAATTTTCCTTCAACTTTAGGATTTTGTTAAATTGTAAGTATTATCATATTATCATTCACATCACATTATCATATTTACATTATAACTAATCAATCAATCAACTCTAATATTGAAATTTCTAGTGGACTTGGATTTCTAAGTATTACATTTGACTTATTATTCATGATTCAACATTATTTATTATATCAAGATCATGAAGATTATAATCCAATAATTGGTAATAACAATAACAATAAATTATCATTTATAAATTATTTATTTAATAGAAATAAAAATAATAATCCAGACAGAACTGGTTTATTAGAAAATAATGATAATAATGTAAGATATGTGTAGATTAAAAATATATAATAATGATAAATTGTATTTTATTTATTTTAATCAATTAATTCAATAAAAGTTGGCTCAACTCCTTACTACTTTGTTTTTTGCTTTGATGATAGATAATATCACAAAACATCAACATTATAGTAAGGCCTTTAAAAGTTGATATCATTTTATTCTCTCTTCTCCTTTCTATCTTTCTTACTCTCTTTCAAAAGTAAAAGAGATGAATAAAAAAAGAGAAATATCAAACCTTTTACTTGTTCATCATTGCCAATCTTATTATTAATATCCTCTAAAGTTTTTTTATATATCATATATACAATCAAATTTGGCTAATTATCATCATTTCTTTTAAAAAAGATCAAAATTTTAGTAAAAAAATTTTTAAGGGTAGGCTCCATATATATGTTAATTAGTGCCGATCACGGGATTTGATGTTTTTCAAGCACCAAGCTTGTGACTACTATATATGTCTTTAACCAATTAGAAGAATTTATCTAAAAATCAATTCGTTTGACTTATTAAAATATATAATCCATATTATTCATGGCATCTATGCTTGAAAAGCCAGTTCTTCTTCTTATCTTTGCTTATATTAATAGCAAAAGATTATTCGATCTGTTGATACCGATTAATACTACAAAGCTATAAATATCAAATGATATCGTATATACCTCTCTTCTCGAAAGACTTCGGGGACAATACTACAATATATTGTTTTTGTTTGATGATGCTTGATCAGCTAGACATGATAAATCCTAATGAAAAGGAATCGAAATCTATTTTCCCTTTTTAAATTTTTAAACATTACATATTGGATTTCTAATAATACGAATTATATTAATGTTTTGATGGAATCCAATAAATGATTAATTACAGGAATTAAATTGTAAATATTTTGTGGTATTACCTGTTTATCACTCATATACAAGAGAAATTTTTGTCAAAAATAAAAAACAAATCTTCTTCGTAGTTACATTCTAATTTTCTCTAAATCATCCATATTATAATCTGTCCAAGTTTTTCCAAGTCATATATACAATTTAATTTGGAGCTAAATTTGGTCACTTGAAGTACAAATTGATGCATTTCAATTGGGTATTTTAAAGAAATTTATTACTTGCTCGCGGGTACACTAGTTTATTATTTACAATTGATTGAGTAATATTGTGTAATATTCATACAGCAGTCGGTACCTGGCCAAAAGCTTCATTTTGCTAATTACCCAAATACAAAAAAAATTTTTTCATGAAACATCATCATTTCAGGTCTCGATCACACGAAATTCTTTTTACTTGGAATTTTAATTACTACTAACTCTACTTCTAATATTTAGTCGGCCTTCTGTACAAGATTGAATCCTTCAGGGCATACTTTTAATCAAATATGCCAAAAATTTTATTTCGCTCCTCTTTTAAGTTCTTCAAGACAGATTCTTTAAATTGTTAGGATACGCATTTTTAGGTCGCGCTCAAGATGTTCCACAGGGTGGGTATAGGTCTGTGACTTGGTCAATTTTCCGATGTATCCGTCTTTATAAAGGCCGATTGTTTGACCACGTTAAATGAACAATTTTTTTTTTAAAAAAAAAAACGTTATATTGTCAAATATGTATACAAAATTTCAAAATTTTCAAAACATATTACCTTTCTACATGAAATTTTTGCATGCTTCTTATCTATGAGAACCTAAGTTACAATGTAACACATATGCACTGGTTTTGTTTGAACCCCAAAATCCAGTACGGTATGATCATAACGTTATGAATACTTTATACTAGCAAAAACCCATTGGTTTTGAGGTGGGCCATTGGTTTGACGGGCTATCAAATAGTAAAATAGATTTTTAACGGAGCAAATAAATTTTTGGGGTTAATTATCATTCTATTGACCAGTTTACACATCATGTTTAACGTCGGGACACAATAAGGTATAAGGTTTGAAAAAGGATCCAAAAACCAAATCGGCTGATATGATGAATTTTATTTATGCAATTAATATTAACAAAAACGAGTCTTCCGAAACTATTAAAATCGACGATCTATAATTAAAATAGTCATTTATAAATAATAGTCTTTTGCTTTTTCTTTATTACAATCTTTTTTTTTTTATTGAATAATTCAGTTTTTCTTATCATGGTGAACATAACCTCCTTTATACAACCAATTTAACTTAGTAGGCACGCCCTGTACCATTGCATGTACTTCCATTTACGACTATTTGCATATGTGGGTTACATTTCTTCATGTATATCAGGCTGTGTCTACGAATTTGCAATATATTTTATCCTCGATAATAAAACATCACATTTGTTTTTCTGCATTTATTTTTAATCTTACAATAGTTAGCAATTATATCATTGAAAAAATAATAAAGCTTGTTTGCCCACATTGAGCTTCTAATTTTTTAATGTTTCTGTATGTTGTATGTGATGTGGTGTAGGTGTGCGATGAAAAATAATAATTGTATGTATAATTCATAAAATAAGCAGTAAAAATATGTATATGGCTGAGACAAATGATTCCATAGAACCTTGTGAAATAAATTGTTTCTGAAACATACAAAAATAAAAATTTATATTATTGTTATATTAATACAATTAATTTGTGATCTGCCAATTAATTAATACTGATCTGGGTAAATTTTTTAAATTTTGTAGCGCTGTCTGTAAATACACATCTAAACTCGATAAGTTGGACATTTATTTATATTATAAAGTACTTTAAACAATTGATTTCTGCGTCCGACTTATGAGTTTAGATGTGTAGTTTGTCAGAAAATCTGTAATATGTAAATCTATCTGTCTGTAATTATGCAATTCTGGAAAAGTCTGTAAACACCACAAATACCTGTAAAAATGCAAACACCTGTGTATAATTCAGGGGGATGGAAGTGGTGTGTTAGAAATATGATTGGCTGACATGTTGATAAATTCACTGATTTTTTATTTATTTTTATTAGAACTATACTTAATACATGAAAGTCTAAATGATGTGGTCGAAATATGTTATATCACATGATTTATCATAATTTTTGAGAACCAGTGATCCAAATTTAATGAAATACGACTTGTTAGAATAGTCTCATAAAAATGATTCGAACAATGGTGTTTTAATGTTCATATCATCAATAAATCACAAGTTATTGTAAAATATACGATAAACCAAAATATCCCAATAATCAGATATTCAAATTTTATGAATTGCATCTCATTAGACTTACCTCATCGAGAGAATTCAAATGATAGTTGTTTTATTCGAAATAGCCGGATATCTATTGACAATTTAAAGCTTTTGATTAATTTTTCTGTATGCTCAGTTGGTGGTATATGTCGCCGAATGACATTCACCGATTATCCGGTTAATCGGGTGAATAATCGATGATATAGAATATAATAAAACAAAATTTTTATTCGCGTCCACATTTTTTTATATTAATTAATTGAGAATTTTTTTTTTTAACACTATTTTTCCACCGACATTCTTTCTTTTAGATGAAATTGATTGGGAAATGGATCCATTTATATGGTAGAGGTATCACAAAAATGAATACCCAAGTGTGTCATTATTAGCTAAAAAATATTTATGTATTGTAGCAACTTCTACTCCAAATGAGTGTTTATTTAGTGAAACTGGAAACACAATGACAGCCAAATGAACAAAGTTGAATCCGTTGTTATTTGAAAAGATTGTATTTCTTTAAAAAAAAAATATGCAATTTATTGAAAATATTTTTCTTGATGAATATATTTTTATTGTTAATAAATTTAAATCGATGGATATTCAATGGATATTCAGCGAATAACCAATTATCCGGACGTTGAATTTTTATAATCAACTTATACAATCACTATGCTTAATCTGTTGTATGATGTAATTTCGACCATTTCGACTTTTAATTTTGAGTTTTGACCACTCAGGTCGAAATATTTCAATTTCATGTATGAAATAATCATAAATTTTTCATAGCAGTTTTTATAAACTATATTGATATATTTTTCACAAATACATATGTAAACTCGATAAGTCGGTCATATGAGCTTACCCCCACATGACCGACTTATCGAGTTTACATAAGTAGAATGATTTAAATGTTAAGTCTTCGTTACACCAGTTATTGATATTTGGGTAATGGATTTTCCCCACAAAATTTTTTGGAGAATTTACGAAAAATAATATTTTCTTTTATAATGAAAAAACAAATTAAATTTTTACCTTTAATAAAACTCCCTAAAGATTATTATAACGTTAAATCATCATCCATTAATTACAATAAATATTGGTCTCCATGGAATTTCCCATCTAGAAAAAATAAGGTCTTTCTAGGATTATTGTTTGATTGGATTCTAATTATTGCTATATCCATTTTAAACAATTGGTAATTAATTATTTAATTAATGAATTGAATTTTTTGATTTTTAATTAATGGGATTTTGATTTTTTAATTAATAAATTTATAATTTCAGGTTGTTTAAAAATACGACTTTGCCAACAGCGCCATATTTTTCAATTAGTGATGAGTCATTAAAGAAACCAATTGTTCCTGGAATAATTTCAGCAAGCGTTGCGACAATAATAAATACATTTGTACCTGGTATTATATTAATATTACTCGAGTTGATATTTTTTTTTGACATTTGGAATTTTTATCATATGTTTACAGGTCATGTCACTAGTGTTGGTAATCAATTGTATTTTTTTTATTGGAGAATTATTTTTATTGGAGATAAAATAATAGAATAATAGAATAATAAAATGTCTATTTATCTGTTTTAATTTAAGTAATAGCATTTTTTTTTTCATCACTTGGGTGGGCAACTGTCGGAGGATCTTTATGCCTTAGACCAACATTTTTAACAAAATGTCAACCAGATCCATCAGTAACAGCAAATGCTTCGTCAGGTCAATATTTTACAAATGATGTTTGTACAGGAGAATTAGAAAGTACTGAATTTCAAGGGTAAACTAAACTAATTAATTAACTAATCAATTAATTAGCAGTTAATCAATCAGTGATGATTTTTTTAATTATTTATTTATAACTTTGTTTTAATTAATTAATTTATCATTATTTTGTTAATTATTATTATTATAAAGATTTCCAAGTGGACATTCAGCAACCGCGTTTGGTGGATGGGTTTTCTTCATATTATATATAAATGGTAAAGCAAAGGTAAATGATATATAGTCATCATGGATAATATTGAATTATCCATTTATTTATTTATTTATTTATCTATTTATTTATTTATTTATTTAGCCATGGGCGGGTGGTTCACATTTGTGGAAAGTAAGTCATCATGCAGTTTTATTCTTTCTGTAAATATTTAATTTTAAATAAATTGATGGAATCTAATAACAACTACACTCAATTTAGGTTTTAATTTTATGCTTTCCATTATTATTTGCATCATGGGTTTCAATTACAAGAATAAATGATTTCAGTCATTTTCCATTTCAAGTTATAACAGGTGTAATTCTAGGAATTTTTTCAGGTTTAATATCTTATAGATTACATTTTGGTAATTCAGATTGGTTTATCGGAAATGGGAATTATCTGGATCATATACCTGCACACTATAAATTTATAGAAGATTGGAATAGTGAAGATGAGGATGAGGAGAGAGGAAATAGTAGAAAGGGAAATGTAGCAAGAGAAGTTGATGATGAAGCTATTGATCATAATAATAACAATAATGTTCTTGACAATAATGATAATCGAGTAATTGAAATGAGTTTATTAAATAATAAAAATGATGCCAATACCAATCATAACAGTAATATTAATAAAAACAATAATGTTGCGATAAATGTCAATAACGAATAATTAATTATGCTCGATAAATTTAAAGCTATAGAGTAATTAATAAACATTATTTATATAGATATTATATGCCTTTTACTTGTTCCCATTTACTTTTTAAATTGATTATGACTTTTTATTCTACAAATCTATTAATTCTACGTGACAATAACTTTTATCTCATGACTTTGATTGCCACATGCCTTTAATGAATAAATTTTTTTAACTAAAAGAGATGATGGTATTAATTATTAATGAAAAAAAAAACTCAAAATCCAAGGCTCAAGGGAATACGTTAAACTCAAAAGGTATTTTTATTTGGGGAAGACAGGCTGCAACAAAACCAGACAAACTGAAGGGTTCAAAGTGATTGAAATTTGCTAGATGAGAATACTATTCGATAGTATAAACTGATCATTTGATCCAAGAGTATCTACCGGGTAAAGGTTTATTTTTTTCTCTTCGATTTTGTTTCTACTTTCCTAAATGATGTATGGAATGGAGCTCAAGAATTACAACACTATAAGAAGTATTTTAAAAAAAGAACAAGGTGAGAAAATCTCCCCTCATGTTTTCAAAATAAATAACACCCAGATGCTTGAAGATTATCAAAGAAAAGAGAAAATTATTGCCTATGAAGAAGAAAGAAAAATACAAACACACGGAAAAGAATGCAGAATAAAACTGAGCAGCAATTATTCAATAATCCTTATTAATATGAATTTCCGACAGTAACACTTTAGCTTTATCAGCATGGCCGGAAGTGCTAATATTTTCTTGCATAATAGCCCCAAAAGCCAGAAAACTGTAATTATTTTTAATTAAATAATGCTTCATTTGTTTGATTAAACAAATCCAAGTCTTTTAAAGCGATATTGGTAGATAATCACAACTTTGAAGTGAAAAAGCACCACTACTTTTAAATAGTCATAGCTTTATATAGGGAGCGTTCTCAGATATAAAATATATGGTTAGAAAGCTTAAATGGTGTAGTTTCTTTTTATCTTAATAGTGAAGTTCAAGTTTATTATTAGAAAGTCGAGATATTTTTAAAATCCGATTTGTTACATGAATTTGAAATTTTAATTTCACATATTGCTATTGTTTTTTTTTTTGTCAACGCAAATTGAAATTTTTTTTTCTTGGAAAAACAATTTATTTTTTGACAGAGTCCAAGGTGACAAAACGTGAGTGTTGTTGTTTGGGTCTTCTAAAGAAAAAGTGTTAATAACTAACCAGAGATACTATTTCTTACTCGTATTTTTATTTTATTTTAATTGGAAATTAAAACGCGGAGTAGATCTTGCTGGGTAATTATAAGATCCTTATCAGCAACGAACAATTGGCATTTTGCTTTTTGTAATAGAAGATGTCAAGGCAATACACTGTTGAAAAAGAAACAATTCAAATATGCAATGTTTGATTATCGGAAATTGGCAGGCGTTGAAGCATGCACGCTGCCTTGAACATTTATAGTCATTCTCTCACATCTTCCTCGAGTACACGAGGCTAATATGACCGTGGCTCTCCGATCATACAATGATGCTATCAAAATTTTGAGGGGGGGTGTATGGTTCTGGGGTTTACCAAGACTGCATCAATTGTCAATGATGCTTTTCATTAATCTTCCCTCACCAGAAGAAGGCCGCTGGCATACTAGCCAAAAAATTGTAAAATAGTGTTTGTTTTGTATAATCATTTTCATAAATTCTCTGTTTCTCTGATACTAACCAATTTATAATTTTGGGTAGGGGACTGGTTGGGTTTTGCCCAATCAGTCCCTTGTCCTATAGATTAAAATTATATACATCTTTGTCAGTAATATGGCCAACAAGAAAAAGAAAAAAGTTATAAAGTGGTTTGGATTTTGTTTGGTATGTTATAAATTAATCACTCCCAAATTCTCTGTTTCTCTTTAATTTTTATTTGTCAACTGAATTTGTTGTTTTTATAAATGGGAACTTTTGCTGATATAACCTCCCACCCTAGGTTAAAGGATTGTAGCTCAATTAGGGCATGTATCTTACAAGTATAAAGGTGGCAGTTTGATTCTGCCCACTCCTATTGTGATAGTCACATGATCACTGGAATCAAGGAGAAAGTTGTAAAATAAAATGGTTTGGATTTTGTTTGGTATGTTATAAATTAATCATTTTCCCCAAATTTTCTGCTTCTCTTTAATTTTTATTTGACCAACTGAATTTGTTATTTAAATGGGGGTAGGGTTGTTGGTGAGTAGGCATGCCACTGACAAGACAGGAGATATACCAGCCAAACTCATAGAAAGGGATCTTTTGTCCAGACTTAGGGTCACATGGATGCTAAGCACAGAAAATGTATGCTATCAATGTATATTTTTTTCAACAAAAATAAACATTTAAATAATTAATTGTTAAATATTAATACTTTCTTTTCATAAAAATTACAGCAGCCCAGGACTCAAAACTCTGAATTTAGGGAAAATCCAAAACAGCAATCCAGATTGCAACCTTCTGAGTTGCAGAATTTTCAACCAGTTGCAGGTGCCAACTTTATTCTAGTGAGAGGGGTATAACACAAAGCAAATGTCATACAAGCACCAGCTATCAGTAATTAATGCCCATATGGAAACAGCCAAGTCTGGTCTGAGAGGAAGATAAGGGAAAGTTTTGTCCAAAGCCTTCAGGCATGTGTGCAGCGCACCTGTGGAAAAGAATCCACAGTTATTGGGGCATGTGAAAACATGGTTATTGCATGTTTGTAACAGGAAATTTTAATTAAATCTGACACCTGTGATCAACATCAGATTTATTATTCATAAGGAACCATGATTGATAATCAG